GAAGACTTCTGGCCACTTAGTGAAGTAATCCATCACAACCATGAAATACTTGTTACCACTGTCACTTTCCGGAAACGGCCCCGCAACGTCATGAGCTATCCTCTCCCATGGTGCACCAACATAAATTTCAACTTGCTAGTAGCCGCTTTTCAGGCCCAGCGTGCTAAACCACTTTAGGACAACACTCAAGGGCTCACTGCTACAGGTTTTCGTTGCTACGTAGCACGCGATCTTTGAACTGCACACGAAAGACGTATTCCAGGTGAGCGTCGCCATATCTCGCCTCCAATGCCGTAAGTCACTTCCTTAACGAGAGCTTCCAGAACAGTGTGAGAGCAGTCATGGCCTGACTTTTATTCCAGCCGCTCGCCTTCATGACAGCCTCTAACTGGATTTTATAGGCCGACCAGGAAGAAGTTTCGTCAATAACGGCACTTTGAATCCACGTAGCGAAGGTGTTGTACCTACCACGGAAGCTGTGATTCCATCCCCAAGTTTGAGGTCGTCCAGCGTTTACTTCACGTCAGCCATCACTTTTTCAACTCGATTGTTCACTTGGTCGATACGGGTTTCAGCTTCCGACAGGCGGTTATCGTTTTGAGCAACCCCAACCCTCTCCTCCTTTATCTTTTTCCCGAATGTTTAGGCACGAATATTTATTTTTATTATTCTTACCTTCGAAACGTATGCTAACGCGCGCGCGTGGCCTCGATATCGAGGTCATCTCCCCCTCCCCCCCTGGCCGCCTTACGCGGCGGAATCGGAATTCTCGAAGTAGTGTAGAATTTCTTGCGAGCTAGACTGACGTTTTTCCGCGCTTAACTTGTTGCGAAAGTATCCACCGTGTAGATCGTTGCGAGATCCTTATCGTTAATCAGGAACTAATAACTCCGTTAAATTCATTGTGCAACCATACTAGTGATTTACCTCTGAAGTGCTACGTGTAGCTGTCCCATTTCGTGACAAACCAGGAAGAGCGCCTCCAGAGGGGGAAAGTTCCGAAGATACCAGCGCATACCTTCTCCCGGACGGCATTGCGGCATCCAGATCAGGGCCCGTCAACATACACGCACATACAATTACACCTACACTCACGACACTGTCATCAGCCGGGCCGGTCTCGGAGAATCGTCCCCGCTCCTGGAGCAGGTGAGTGCCTTTAACGTAGTAACATTTCCCCTCGTTTGTTTCCATCAGAAAATTTCCACGTGGCCACATTGAGCCCGACCTACGTCTGCTCGGGAAGTCTTCAGCTCATGGGCCCCTGAGGATCTGATCCTTTAAGGGAGCAGCCGTAGGCCGTAACAAACTGGTAGCAGAGCGCGGTTCCGGGTTCGATTCCCGGTCGATCCCGACCATAGTGTTGATTTCTGGTGGCAGGGAGCGTTGATTTAATTTGTATCTACAATCACGCCCGTCCGTAATACGTAAAAATATTTTTTTTGTACGTAATAATAGAATTATTTCCCTTTGTTGTTTGTAGCTTGCCCTTTGTTTTGGTTAGTAGGTAGTTTGAGAAACCGCGCCCTAGGTTGCGCAAGCGGGAGTTTTTCTAGAGATATACGTCATGTAGGTAGATGGTTATTTTTACGTAATCGGTTAATTATCGTTGTCGGATAGTTGTAGTGGATTACTTATCGATTTCTGAATTTCGAAGTATCTTCGTTTATACTGTAATTTGTAATTGAACTAAAGAGTAGTAATTGTATTTGCGCAATTTGAATTTAACTTGATTTGACCGTACTAGGGTTGTTACGTGCTAATTTGATTTGTGTTTTTTCGTATTTACTTGTAGTTTGATTGATATTATCGTATTAGTAGTACTGTATTCGTTATTTCTTTTATTTTGTTATTAGTATTCGTTATTGTACTGTATTTAGTATGCCGTCACATAAGCTACTAATTCGTTGCTTGCGGACTGAGCTGCGCTGGGCCACCAGCGCACACGCATTGATAGGCCGACCGGACAGGGTCTATAATCTGAGGAAGAGGCTCGAGCAGGTCGATGCTCGAAGGGCTGCCGTGGAGGAGGCTTACTCTGAGCTCGAGGACTCGAAGGTGGAAAAGGGAGTCCTGGACTCCTGCCGCGCGGACTACGAGCAGTTCCTCGCGCTAACGGACGACCTGATCGAGGCGGGGGCCAAGGACGCGGAGAGGGAGCGCGAAGCTCGGCTGAGTAGCCTTCTCGAGACCCCGCGGAAGCCGCCTACTCAGCCAGAGCTGCTACGATGACTCCCCACGCTGGACCTGCCAAGGTTCTCCGGGGTCCTCTCGGAGTGGCTGACATTCGTCGGCATGTTTGACAGCCTGGTGGACGCCCGGAGGGACCTGACCCCCTGCCAAAAAATGGGGTACCTCCTGGCATCCCTGGAGGGGGAGGCCCTGGGCGTCGTCGGCCACCTTAAGTTGTCGGACGACGCCTACCAAAACGCCAGGGATCTCCTCGCTGGAAGGTACGCCAACGTCCGGCGGATTGCGGACAATCATGTTCGGAGGCTGCTGAACCTCCCGCTGTTGAAGGACCGGACTAGACTACGTGAGGACATAGTGAATCCAGTCGTCGTAGCGTGCAACTCGTTGCGGCGGCTGGATTTACCTGTGGACGAGTGGTCTTTTCTGCTTCTTCATATAGTGCTGTCCCGCCTGCCCCTCGACCTTCGGCTCCATTTTGAGGAGAGGTACGGAGGGGATGGCGCTTCGTACATGCCCCCCTTTAGGGACATGCTGCGGTTCCTGGAGGAGCAGTGTAGGCAGCTGGAGAACGCCGCAGGCGCCGTCGAGGGCCCCCCGGCCGCCTCCCGAGCGGTGCCCAGGGAGAGGCGGAATCAGCCGGCCAAGGCGGCGCCCACCCCCTGAGGCGCGGCGCCCTCCCGCCCCCGCGGGAGGGCGCCCCCCAGTACCCTCCTATAGTGGCCTAGCGGCCCGGGAGGCGCCTCCCTGCTCCTATTGTCGAGCATCCGACCACTGGGCGGCGTCGTGCCCGAAGTTGTTGCGCAAGCCGGCTACGGCGAGGCGAACCATCGCCAGGGAGCGCCGCTGGTGCTTCTCGTGCCTGGAGAGGCATTTACAACGAGACTGCCCACACCAGCGGCCCTGCACGCACTGCCAGGGCAACCACCACGTTATATTGTGCCTGGGTGCGCGCGGCTCGTCCTCTCAGGGCCCTGCCAGCCCCCCGACTCCCACGGGCAGGGGCGCCCAGCCACGCCCACTGTCGGGCGACGCCCGGCGCTCACCGGTGGACCACAGCGCCCCTCGTTCTGAGGGGAGTCCCTCCCCCGATCGGTCTGGGAGTCGTTCCCCCAAGGGCGGGGGGGGTCTTCACCCCCCCTCAGCGAGTTGATAGTGGATTCGCAGCCACTCAGCGGTCAGCTAGACCGTTCTCACCCCCGTTGGCTGAGTCGCCGCGACTGGAACGCCGCCCGCCCCCCTTTGGTCGGTGCCGGTACTACCGGGTTCCGGAGACGGCGTATCGGCCCCGGACCTTGGAGCCGAGGATCCCCGAGTTTCCCCAGGTCGGCCCGTTCGGGGAATTCCAGTCAAGGGTCATCGAGACGCCGTCGAAGTGCCGCTCTCGGGGGCCCCGGTTCGGGTGCCGGCCCAACAGAGGCAGCTCCAGATAGGAGGCTGCCGCCCTAGCTCCCGCCATGGCCGCCTCCACTGAGCCTATAAGTCTTCAGCAGTCCAACTGTCGAACTGTTCTATTGCCGACGGCCTCAATGAAGGTTTACAACCCGAGCGGCGACCGCTTAACGGTTCGAGCTCTATTGGATTCGGGTTCCCAACCTAGTGTGGCCTCTACTCGGTTGGTGGGAAGACTGGGGCTCCCCTGGAGCTCTGAATCACGTCCGATGGTAGGTATCGGAGGTGTCGAGCCTCCTGCTCCTAGGGGACCAGCGGAGTTGGTGTTCAGCCCTGACAGCGAACACCTTCGTATTTTAGTCAAGGTAAATGTCCTCGACGACATTGTAGGGTTTCTCCCTAACGTTCGTATAAATGACAGCGCTGTGCGCTGTGCGTCGGCTTTGAGACCGGCAGACCCTCGGTGGGCCCAACCTGGGCCTATAGATTTGTTACTGGGGGCCGACACGCTGGGTGTCTTCTTGTTAGGTGAGATACGAGCTCTGCAGCCCGATGGCCTGTCAGCCATTTCCACGATATTTGGGCACAGCTTTTTTGGACCGGTTATGTGGTCTCCTCCCCCCCCCCCCCGACGGCCGACCCGCTCTCCGTCGTGGGCGTGTCTCTATCGGACGCCGTCCAGCGGTTCTGGGAAATTGAGGAACCACCACATGCAGCTCGAGTCGACCCTCTGGACCGTGAGTGTGAGTTGTTCTACCAGAACAATACCGGCCGGCGGGTTGACGGTCGTTTCGTCACTCGCTTACCCTTCCTGGACTCACGCCCCTCTTTGGGTCAATCTCGTGCTCTGGCCGAGAAGAGGTTGCTTTCCATGGAGCGCCGCATGCGGCGTGACCCAGCCTTCCGTGACAAATATGTCGAGTTCATGCGCGAGTACATGTACATGTACATGAGCTGGGTCACATGTCACCGTCCAACTTCGAATGGCGTTCACAGGAGCACTACTTCCTCCCTCACCATGCGGTCTTGAGGACCCCTGCGAGTAAGATTCGGGTAGTTTTTGACGGTTCCGCCCCCACCTCAAACGGTGTGTCTCTGAACCAGTGTCTCCACTCGGGTCCTAAACTGATCAGGACATATCCGACATCTTGACCCAATTCCGTCGACACCAAGTGGTTTTTGTCGCGGACATTCGGATGATGTTTCGCCAATCAGTGGTCCATCGTGATGACCGCCGATATCAGCTGATATTGTGGCGCGAGAAGCCCAGCGATCCTATACAGGTATTTGAGTTGAACACCACCACATATGGACTCCGGTCCAGCCCGTATATCGCCATGCGAACCCTCCTTGAACTCGCTGAGAGAGAGCGCCTGAGATACGCTCGGGGAGCTTCCATTTTGGAGACTTCGGTTTACATGGACGACATTTGTACGGGCGCTTCCACTGTCGAGGAGGCTCTGGTCTTGCGAGACGAATTAATTGCCATCCTGAAGTCTGGAGGCTATGAGTTGCGCAAGTGGCTGTCGAACTCCCCTCATATTTTGAAGGACCTCCCAGGAGAGGATCAACAAGACCCTCATCTGTTCGAGCGCCCTGAGAATCCTAATTTGTTGACTGTGCTGGGCATTCAATATCAGCCTGTTCAGGATACCTTTACGTATAGAGTAAAACTTGACCCACCGCCCAAAGCCTGGACCAAACGCTTCGTGCTGTCCACCGTAGCCCGCACCTTCGACCCTAATAGGTGGATCACCCCGGTCATCTTTTTAGCTAAGTGCTTCCTTCAAAAGCTCTGGATGTCCGGGTTGGGTTGGGACGAGCCGATTGGCGGAGCCCTCTTGCGAGAGTGGCTCTCTGTTACGGCCTACGGCTGCTCCTTTAAAGGATCAGATCCTCAGGGGCCCATGAGCTGAAGATCTCCCGAGCAGACGTAGGTCGGGCCTCCTAAGGCCACGTGGAATCTCTCTAATTACACTAAAATATATGGGGGAGCGTTATACTACGGCCAGTCGACCGGAAGGAATATGGATGAAGCTTACTTACCTATCCAAGACGACTGGTCCCTCCGGAGTCGGTCAGGTCGCATGTGGTTGTGTAGTGCAAGGGAAAGAATGGTGATGTGGTGTGTATCTGGGTGTAACTGATGGTGATTGAACCTAGACCTTGGCCGTCGGCAGCAGACACCGCTCCAACTTGAGGGGGCCTTTCGAGGTCGTCCTCAGGCAGTGCTAAAGATTGGCACGCTGCCAATTAAGCGCCGTAACCAGTTTGTTACGGCCTACGGTTGCTCCCTTAAAGGATCCAATCCCCTGGGGCCCATCAGCAGAAGACTTCCCGAGCAAACGTAGGTCGGGCCTCCTAAGGCCACGTGGAATCTCTCTAATTACACTAAAATATATGGGGGAGCGTTATACTACGGCCAGTCGACCGGAAGGAATTTGGCGGAGTTCACTTACCTCTATCCAAGGCGACTGGTCCCTCCGGAGTCGGTCAGGTCGCATGTGGTTGTGTAGTGCAAGGGAAAGAATGGTGATGTGGTGTGTATCTGGGTGTGACTGATGGTGATTGAACCTAGACCTTAGCCGTCGGCAGCAGCCCGAGCGTCGACACCGCTCCAACTTGAGGGGGCCTTTCGAGGTTATCCACAGTCACTTTCTTGGTTCACCACGATGACAGTCACTTAACTCTATCGTACTATTAACTAGCTTACAGAAGCCACTAACTATCGCGGGGTATAAGGTTACCGCACAAAACACGCCCGGAGTTTCTGGGTCAAAGGTCACTACCGTTTCGCGTAGCAATAGTTAATTCTAGAATCAGAGGCCGCACTAGCTTATATTGTCGAATGCACTTATACAGATTCTGAGTCGGACCCAATAAGTCCCGGGAAAGGCTATCCAAACAGGGAATGCGCGTTATAATTCCTAGACAGGATATTTACTAGACGCCCTAACTATTCCGCGGTTCCCGCACAAAATTAACAGCGTGCAAACATTAGCGCATCTGGCCGATGACAGACTCGCTTGCGACCCGCGCGCCACTGCCACGCTCGGAAGAACTTCAGACCGGAATCGCGCCGAGCCGAGTGACATCTGGTGTCGATTCCGACAACAGAGTTTTGCGCGAACAAACCCCCGTCCCGGACATAAGGATTTAGGTCCGCGAGCAAACCGGTCAGCGGGACAAGGTCGAGACTGCAAGTTGCAAGACCGAATCTACAACCAAACTAGGCCACCTTAGGCAATCCATTAGGTCTTGCAACCCTAATCAACGCCTCAAAGATATCCCTAATGTGGCAAGCCGGAGGGTCAGCCTCCACTGGATGCCCCTCCTGGGCATCGCAGCACTTTAATAAGTCCTGTACTGGACAGAAGTCCGACGACCTCTTTCAAACACCTATCTGTGCCCCTATGATTAGTTCCGCAATCCGACCGGATCAGCTCTGCAAACAGCGACGCTACACGAAGCTGCCCCGACAAATTTTGTGCCAACAGTTGCTTCAGTGCAGAGCGCACCCACAAATTCCACATGAACGTCGTCTGTGGAGAGCCAAACGAAACGCACAGATAGTCCCTAGTATGAATTTTCAACAAGTAGGCCTAGCCAGGCCACCCACCATATTATCATTTACTAAAATAGTGCGGCAGCTGATTTCAATCTGATAATCTCCAAAACTAGCTAGCCTGTTAGACAAGTAGTCCTATGCTCATATTTCAACTAATTTTTCAAAAGCATCAATGTTCAACTACAGAATTAATTCAACCAAATTAATCACCGATGCGCATAGGTCAACTTGCAAATTAAACAAAACAATAACGTAAGGGACAGCCCTACTTCTTAGAAAACAAAAATGATTAAACACTATCATAAACATAAACATAATTTTTCAAATAGTGCGCCATTCCATTTCAGATGAATTCAAATTTTCCTTTCAGCAAACAAACGCAACAATCAAATACAGTGATTAAATATATGTACAAAACACATGCAGTAGCATTTAAAGGAGTAGATTAAATTCAATTCTTTTAATTTAAACCGCTACAAATAGGAGAATTTCGCGGAAAGCCCAAAGCAATTTTTAATTTTAATTCAAGTATTTTTTTGACTAAGTGCTCGACCAAACCAAATCTAATACCCCTTGACAGCGTGATTCAACGCTCCAGGGGGGCCCTAATCTTCCCACCACCAAGGGGAGGCCACATGGCGTGAACCCGAGATAAATAAAGTACAACCTTTAACAGTTGCCACTCGGGTTGTACGCCTTCACTGAGGCCGTCGGCAACAGAACATTTTGACAAGTGACGGCTTAAGGCTCAGTGGAGGCGGCCGTGGTGGGAGCTAAGGCGGCAGCTAGACAGGGCCGCCTCCATCAAATGGGGAACAGTGGTACACCAGTCGCGGCCACTCAGCTAACGGAAGTGAGAAGGGTCCAGCGGACCGATGAGTGGCCGTGAAGTTCCTCTCCACACGCTGAGGGGGGGTGATGACACCCCCGCCCCTGGGGGAATTACCCCCCGACTGGTCGGGGGAGGGACTCCTTTCAAACTTAGGGGCCTGGTGGCTGGCCGGCGGGCGCCGAGAGTCACCCTGCAGAGGGCGTGGCTGAGCGCCCCCGCCCGTGAGGGTCGAGGGCCTGGCAGAGCCCCGAGAGGAGACGCCGTTCGCACCCAGGCACAAAACCGCATGGTGATTGCCCTGGCAATGCAGACATGGCTGTCGATGCGGACAGTCTCGATGGAGGTGCCCTCCCAGACATGAACAGCACCAGCGGCGCTCCTTAGCGATAGTTCGCCTCGCTGGAACCGGCTTACCTAATAATTTCGGGCACGACGTTACCCGATGATCAGACACTCGATAATAGGAGCAGGGGGGGGTTGACGACGACTTGCCTGGCGAGTTCAGCCTCTCACTGGGCACGTCTCGTAAGTCGTCAACGGTGCCCGCCGCGTTCTCGATCTGCCGGCACTGCTCCTCTAAAAACCGCAGCAGGTCATAGAAGGGCGGAATATAGGAGGCCTCGTCCCCGCCGTACCTCTCCTCAAAATGGATTCGAAGGTCGAGAGGTAGACGGGACAGCACTATGCGGAGCAACAAAAAGGCCCATTCGCCCACTGGTAAACCCCGCCGCCTCAACGTATTACAGGCCACCAAGACTGGATCCAACAGGTCCGGACGCAGTCTGGCCCGGTCACTAAGCAGCGGGAGGCTTAGAAGCTGCTTAACATGTTCGTCCGCAATGCGCCGGACGTTGGCGTATCTTCTGGCTAGGAGGTCCCGAGCAGTCTGGTAGGCGTCGTCCGACAATCTCAAGTGGCCGACGACGCCCAGGGCCTCCCCCTCCAGTGAGGCCAGGAGGTACGCCATCTTTTGTCTCGGGGTCAAGTCACTCCGGGCGTCCACCAGGCCGTCGAAAAGACCAACGAAGGTCAGCCATTCGGAAAGGACCCCGGAGAACTTTGGCAGGTCCAGAGTTGGGAGTCGTCCCAACAGCTCCGGCTGAAGCTGCTTCAGAGAGGACTCGGGCAGGTTACTCCTCCGAGCTTCACGCGCCTCCTCGGCATACCTGCCTTCAGCCTCGATCAACTCGTCCGTGAGCCACAAGAACTGCTCATAGTCCGCAAAGCAAGAGTCCAGGACTCCCTTCTCCACATCCGAATCCTCGAGCTCAGCGTAAGCCTCCTCCACTGCGGCCCTTCGAGCATCCACCTGCTCGAACCGCTTCATCAAGTTATGGACCCTATCCGGTCGACCTATCAAAGCATGGGCGCTTGTGGCCCAGCGCAACTCAGTCCGCAGACAACGGATCAGTAGCTTGGGCGATGTCATCACTATTAAATGCAAATTACGACGCGGCTTGAGCACAGTTTACAAAGATAACAAATAAAAAATACAACAAAAAATTAACAGTTAATAAATGCAGTTCCTATCAAATCGCGTTGAATAGAAATTACACAAATACGAACTACTTGCTACGTATCAACCAAATACAAGTTAGCACAAAAAAGACACAAATCAAATTAACAAATAACAAATACTAGTGCGATCGAATCAAGTTAAATTCAAATTGCGCAAATACAAATTACTACTATTTAGTTCAAATACAACTTACAGTATAAACGAAGATACACATCACGGTCGATCAACAAAAAATGCCTAGCTCGGAAATCGAACCTTCGATAAGTAATCCACTACAACTCTCCGACAACGATAATTAACCGATTACGTAAAAATAACCATCTACCTACATGACGTATATCTCTAGAAAATCTCCCGCTTGCACAACCTAGGGCGCGGCTTTTCAAATTACCCTCTAACCAAAAAAAAAGGCAAGCAACAAAGCAACAAAGGAAAATAATTCTATTATTACGTACAAAAAAAATATTTTTACGTATTACGGACGGGCGTGATTGTAGATGCAAATTAAACCAATCACACCAACGCTCCCTGCTACCAAAATTGTTTAATGTTTATCAAACACTATAGTCGGGATCGACCGGGAATCGAACCCGGAACCACGCTCTGCTGTCAGTTTGTTACGGCCTACGGTTGCTCCCTTAAAGGATCCAATCCCCTGGGGCCCATCAGCAGAAGACTTCCCGAGCAAACGTAGGTCGGGCCTCCTAAGGCCACGTGGAATCTCTCTAATTACACTAAAATATATGGGGGAGCGTTATACTACGGCCAGTCGACCGGAAGGAATTTGGCGGAGTTCACTTACCTCTATCCAAGGCGACTGGTCCCTCCGGAGTCGGTCAGGTCGCATGTGGTTGTGTAGTGCAAGGGAAAGAATGGTGATGTGGTGTGTATCTGGGTGTGACTGATGGTGATTGAACCTAGACCTTAGCCGTCGGCAGCAGCCCGAGCGTCGACACCGCTCCAACTTGAGGGGGCCTTTCGAGGTTATCCACAGTCA